TATACCCAGATCTGGCACCTAAAATTAGGTTCTTCTAGATCGTTCCGATCAACTCAGAATCAGTTGATCTGAGCCCATCAGACCTTCTCAGAGCTGGATCCATCATAGTCACTGCAGATCCGGGCGTACCTGTCACTCCACTTGATCCGGTCACTTCCTGTCTGCAATTTCTCGGATTCCACTTCACCACACGCTCGGGGATGGCAACTTTGGTGGTTTGGTGATGACCGGCGAGATTATCCACCCTATCGAAGTATTTCATCGACTGATCTGGACACTCCAAAGACAAAGGCAACGCTATCGGAATGGTCAATACTCATGAGGCATATCATTAACTGCATCGAAGCAGAGATGGGTTCACCGTTACCACCTATTCGTGACCTAGCTCACGCTATTGAACTGTTCAACATGGGATTCAAGACGTTAAACTTGAAGCCAAGCAAGCGTAAGCGCCGCACTACCCAAATCAAACTCACCACGGTTGTGAGAGGCTGAAAATGCCACTCACACCTTCCCGTATAAGCCGCGCAAGATACCTAAAGCTGCGGGTAGTGTAGCGCCAAGAATTTGTGCTACAGAATAGGCCGACGCTGCACCATAGTCATCACAGGAGCCAGCAATATGAAGTCCTGCACGCACTGGAATCGGTGAAGCTCGCTCAGAACCTGAGCGGGATCTCTGACGTTCTTGACAGCACCATTGTGTCTGTGAAACACTGAAGATTAGCATGTGAGGTTCAATAATACATGTATGTAGGCTCTAGTATAGCTCACGTTGTTGTACTCCGCTGGTCCTTCGTGTCCTTCTTCGAGTTTGGATCAGCGGGCATTTCAATATAATAGCCAATCAGAAGCAACTATACAATCGTCGGCTCCTGGGACCTACGAATTCCAAAGTCAATTCATTCCTGTCTAGGATTACAGACAGTCCATCAGACTGCCTCCAATTGTTTGCAGTGCATACAAAACGCAAGGTATATCTACAGTACCGCTCCATGTAAACAGTGTAAACAAATCGGTAAACTGTTCCAGACGCCTCCCCCGCCCGTCGCCTTGTTACGCAGAGGTTCCATCCCCCTCCCCACTCTACACGAGTAATCACAGCCCAGATGATAAATCCACCACTGTTGGAATGTACATTAGATGTGCACATTAGAAGTGGCTGATGAGGCAGACCTGCATTCAAACGACAAGGTTGGTCGTTTCATATCTGAGCAAGAGACGCTAGTTGGTTCTGAAAGTAACCACTATAGGGAGAAGAGAGAGAAGAGAAAAGCTCAATACATGTTTACTTTCAAAAACACCTGGTACACCTCAAGTGCTCAAGCGTCGCCTGAGGCGTCCGCAACGTAGAAATCGGCTTCTCAACAGGGTTATGAGCCCAAGCATTCTCGCATTGTGAGGCAAGCATCATGAACGAGTCGAAGATGGAAGGACTTCCGCACGGCTGGGATGGAAAGGACTGGTGAAGATACAAGGGGACTATGCGTACAAGTTTCCGTGAGCATGGCCTTTTGAAGATCGCCGAAGGAAAGTAATTCGGGAGAAACTCATCAATGAAGAAGGAGAAGCAGCATTCGACAAGAAGCTGTTCAAAATCATGCGTATGATAGGAACGGCAATTCCGTCCGATAGACTCCAACGGGTCGACCACTGCGAGTCTGGATCTGAGATGTGGGCGAGCTTATGTGAAATCTACGAGAAAAGGCAAACGCAACTATTAGGGAGAGTGCCATCCTTCGTTTTTCTGAAGAATTGAAGTCGATGAAGTGTTCTGCGGATGCGGACGTGCAAGCACATGTGTCGTACATGTTCAGCTGAAAACGGAGCTGGGAAGTTATGGGTACGAAATAAACAATATCAACATGAAAGCTATGCTGTTGGACTGCTTACCAGACCAGTCTGACTTCAATCTACTTCGTGGTGCGATTAAGTACGGCGGAAATGGTGGGTCAATGACCCCAGAAGACCTTCGCGTTTTGATTGAAGAGGCCGCAGAACGGTAGTCACGACGGAAAGTCACACTCAGTCGAACTATACCCGTAGTGACAACATCAACTACCCCGAGGTGGTTCAGGAACCTGGGGTTGTGACCGGTGCTACTACAGTGCACGAAGGAAAAGTATCTTCTACACAAAATGGAGCTGAAACAGCAGCAGAAGCGGTCAAAAGAGCCCAAGATGTCTTGGTGGTGCTTTGACTCGGGATCAAATGCACACATTGTTGGAGACCCGAATGGTTTCGTACATCTTGAAGCGATTGAGCCGGAAGAACTTACCGCAAATGTACAAGAAGTGGCTGAGTCAATAGCCTCTAAGGCAGCGGGTATAGGAACCGTAAAGATTGTGTCAATAATTGGTGAATTCGAGGTGTAGCTGTTTATCGATGGAGTTCTATATGTACCAGGAGCGACACATGGACTTTCTCAAAGGGGTTGGCATTGGAACAAGGTTTTGGAGTTTATTATGATCGCACTACGAGAGAGTACTCGATCTTCAAAGACAACCAAAAAGTTATAACAGCGTTCCCATCTCAGGGCATTTGGATTTTTAATATTAAACAGCCAGGCGATAAACCCTCAGGAACGAAAACTGATCGTGCCATAGTTAATTATACAGCGGCAGACGTAGTTGGATGTTTACAGGTCTGGAACGAGCACTTAGCTCACACATGCTCCCAATATCTGAAGGTGATGGCTGATCGCGATCTTGTTGGAGGGATGATCCTTTCACAGCGTCGGTTAAAACATTGCGGTCCTTGTCAGCTCGGCAAACAAAAACGCAAGCGTCGACAAAAGTGTTTGAACCGGAATATCACCGCTCCGAACCAAATTGTTTATGCTGATCTATTGTTTCCAGGAAGCGGAAATGGAACTCGCTTAAAAGCCATTCTCGTGATTATGGATGGTTGGAGTCACTTCTTGACTGTGTATCTGCTGACTAGCACGATCGTCGGTATTCAACAAGCTAGTGCAGCAGTACGTCTTGTTGGCGGAGCACCAAGCAGGACGTGGGTTCAAGAAGATCGTTCAAAGAGAATATGAAAAATTCCCGGTGCAACGTGTACTAACTGATAAAGGAGGTGAATTCGTAAATACCGCGATAGAGCATTGGTATGCGGCACGAAGGATTGAGCACATCAAGGTTGGCCCGAAGAGCTCGCACCTCAACCCTTGTGAGCGAGCACACCGGTCGCTAATGGAAATGACGAAGGTGCAGATGCAAGCCGCTCAGTTTCCACGTTCGTTTTGGTCATATGCCTTGAAGAACGCTGCGTACATCAAAAATCGCGTTTACGCTAAGCCTATTGAAGGTGTTCCTTATCAGAGAATGTTTGGAGTAAAACCCGACATCCATCACATTTGCAAGTTTGGGTCATTAGCGTACGTCCACGTTCCAGTATCACCCGAGAAGCAGAAGCAGGATGCTAATGCATTCGTATCGTTCGTACTTGGCTACGCAGAAGAAACCGTGGGATGTCAAGTCTACATACCTAGTAAACGTACCGTGAAGTTTTTGGCTAAAGTCAGAGTACAAGAAGATATCACCTACGGCGACCGGCATGAAGTGAACCCAGCGGATATTAACATTGCAGAATGGCTTACGTTTGAGACAGTGCCTGCAAATGACAAAAATGAAGCAAATATTTCGAGTATTGAAGGTCCTGACAGTATTGTACCTGAATCGGAATGCTCGATGGAGAGAGTAGCCAATGTTGCTAATGACTGTAGCGAGGTAAATGCGTCTGTGTCGTACAAATTTAATGAGTCCAAAATGGCGACAACACCATTGAGACTCAAGCAAGACGATGATGACGACATTGGCGACGTTAATATCGCTGAAGAACTTCAAGAACTAAGTTCGCAGATTTCGTTTTCACCAAGAAGTGGCATGGAAAGTAAAGGCAAAGTTTCAGTTATTGCTGACGATGCGTTCTCCAGTAAAATAATGGCTACGAGGTCTAGAAGTACTGAAGATGAATATGAGTCAACCGATTCAAATACCAAAGTGACGAACTTGTACCAGATCAGAATATGAAAGATAAGCTGGAACCTGGTGATGGAGCCAGCAATTTTTGGTGATATACAGCAAGAGCGCATTGAAATACCATTTGGACTACGAAAGAGGGTTTCACGCGATAACCCACCATCCGAAGCAGAGCGAAACCAACTCGGTGGAGATGTGAAAGGTTGACGGACAGGCTTACGGGATGCTTCAATACTCAAACCACCCGCAATATACCAAGACTATGTGTCAAACATGACAGTCAGAGTGTTAGACGCGCAGGGAAAGCCAACTCGAGGAGATAATATTCAAGTGCAGCGAAACCACAGGGAGGCGATGGGCTATGGATATTAGCTGAAGTCGAAGAAACGGCAGCGCTTCGGGCAAAGGGAGTGCTCGAAGAGATTGAGCAGGCAGATTTGCCAGAAGGAGCAAAAGCGATTAAGATTATGTGGATGTACGCGATCAAAACGGATCACCAAGGCTATGTAATTAATTTTCAAGGCCAGAATTGTTGCTCTTGGAAACTTGCAGCGAACAGGAATCGATTTCATCGAAACGTTTGCATCTGTTGACCGTATGGCATCATTCAGGTTAGTACTTGCCATTGCAGCTGAACTGGATCTGAAAGTGTTGGGTGATATCAACACAGCTTATCTGAACGCGTGTTTGGCGATTCCGCAGTTCATCAAGTCAATCAAGGAGTTCCCTTGTGCGGTTGATGGTCCTTTGTACATCGTGAGGAAGGATCTTTATGCGTTACGTCAACCTGGACGTGAATGGGACTCCAAACTAAATAATTGGCTACTTAGGCAAGGTTTTCAACGCCGTGCAACTGAACCCTGCTTATACTTCAAGTATGGCCTCTTCGTATTCCACCTACGCCAGATACAATGTTGCACAAATTATATTGAAATTGATGTGCTTGTTATATCTTTGATCGCTACTTACGTATTTGACAACTTCCTAGACTGTCGGGAGTTAGTCGCTGCTATGGCATGTCAGCATATGTATTCTATCTCTTTTAAACAGAAACCAGTCGGTCCGTCCGTAAAGAAAATGCTAAAAAAATACGATTGGCTTAAATTAGAGGTCGCATTTATATGATTGGATGAAACGAGTTTTCATATTTTTTACGGTTGCAAACAATTTTCCTTGCGTGTTCAAAGCTGGAGCCCACCACCAGTATCTAGCTGGCAAGAAACTACGGAGGGAAAACCAAAAGAAAGCCTAATGTAGCGGATGCTATATCAGACATGTATAGAGCGCTCATCGATGTTCAAGCTCCCGCTCGGTTGTTGGTGACCTCATTGCTGGCGCGCGGTATTCATCGATTGGGAAAGCTACGCTACTGTCGTATGGAAGGTATTAGTGGTTGTGCTCACCACACATAATGTAGCTTAATTCGACCCTAATTACAGGCGAAATTTACAGCTATCTGCTATGGTTACTAATGGTTGTAAGCAGAGTGCTGGGTGTATCGAAAATGCTAGGGATGTCCCACCACCGATCGGCACCATCGCGACAGAAAGGGACCTTCTGTTCCGCCGTGTCCCACGTAAATTTCCCGGTTCCCCACACAAAGCCAAGGCTCAATCGTTTATCATTCGGCCGATATTGCAGTTCCACTCGCACCTTTCGGCACATCTACTACCAAGGAGGACATTATCAAGCATGTAGCGCTGTAAAACATTCCTATTAAGGTAACGTAGGCTAAAACATGTATCTAACGACTCGCGGAGAGGCGTGCTCGCCCGCATACACGAAGGATTGGAGCTTTTGTCTCCGCATCTTTTCTTCTTCTTTTGACAGCCCCAGCAGGACGTCATTCGACTTCCCTTTTTTGCGGTAGGAGGATTCAACTGAGGATGAGATTCGACAGCAGTAAGCACACGCTTACGTTGTTCCTTCAATCTACAACGGAGTGCATTAGCACTTAGCTGGGACTCAGGATACTTCTGCAAGAAAACATTGTGCAGGTACTCCCATTTACCTGGAACTTGAGAAATAGAGTTTGCCAGATTTCTGAAACCCCCCATATCTGTTGGTGTCAGTTGGGCAGGTGGACGCTAGACTACGAATGCTGCCTTTTGCTGATTTGCGTGTGGTGAAGAAGGTAATTCCCCTTCCTGTTGAACAAAAGGTGTATCTGTTTGTGCTCGATAATTTTCTACTGACAATGTGTCGAGTTGTTGACTGCACAATCATTGTCAGTGATAGAATATTCCAATAGCATCTTTGATTCAATGCTTTGAGCGAGTTCAGAATTACAGGTGGTGGTTGTAGCACTTGTTGGTTGTTTCGTGGGCTGAAATATTGTATCTTGAGTAATGCGTAGCTTAATTTTGAGGGAAGCACCTCTGTTACAAGCACGCTTCATGGCACCCCACCTGAGCGACAATTTTTGTTCACTCTTTGGCCAGATTCCATCACAGATACAACTTGCAAAATTCTATACGCGAATGAACAGCTTCTTCTTTCCTGTGCAAAGTTTTGATTCGCGAATCGTTTAGAAGGTCTGGGGTTGAAAAGCTTGCTCATTCGGGTTGGTGTCCGACAGTTCTGGTCGAGTACGATCAAAGATAAAGAGGATTCGTCGGTTGAGATTGATATCTTCGCCGGTAATAGACTGAGACGTGCCGTTCGTGTTTGTATAGCTGCTGGGGGTGATGCTGTCGTCAGTTTGCTGCATGTATTATTTTGTGGTGGTTGTCTTCTCGTCTGCGATGACCTTAAGCTTTGCGACGATGGTTGTGTAGCTTCTCTGATGGAGTTTGAAACTACTATTGGTGTTTGATTCAGCAGCGAGGTTGAACATGATAGTTGTCACAAGTTCACAAGTTTACCAGCTGGGTTTTTGGCGTGTTTGCTCCTTACGAATTTGAAGCAGTAGTTCGTATTCCTCGTATGAAAATCCTGCTAACGATTCAGAATCGTTACGCTCTAGGTGGGGTAAAGCCATAAAGTTGGACCGTGAGAGACGGTGGTTCTTCGAAGTTGAATTAAGGAGCAATAGTGCGCGATTTATTGCGCAATGGCGCTGGGGATAGGCAATTTCCAAGGATGCAACTTCGGTGGGGGCAAAATATCGTTCATTAGCACCCGCCAGTCCATTAGTAGGGCGTGGCGAGGCGGGTTAGCGGAACAATGCAAATCTGCGAGTGAGCTATCTTGGTTAGCACTGGCGACACTGACTTTCTGGTTTTCTTTATCGACGTGGGTAAGATCTCGAAGATGAGCTTGGCACCGCAGTTGCCATCCGGAAACCGAAACATCCTCAAATAATGTTCACCAGAACCGCTTCAACATTTTTGGACACAACGCATGCGGCTCCAAACATACTGAGCCACTGTGAAAACCTAAAATCCAAGGACGAACTAGAACGATATTGAGGCCTGGATACTTGGTCAGACATAATGTGGTTAATAAAAGCGAGTTGTGGTGAACTATGTAGGGCGTCTTGAGTCAACATTGCTGCCTGCGCTAACGTAAAATCAAACTCACTAAAAGAATCGTTTCTCCCAAACTTTGCCCCGGTGCGGAGATTGTGTTGAACTATGATAACATACAAAATCGGCATACCAACTTCAACAGATAGAAAGCGATTGAGAAGCTTCTTAAGACCAGAGTGAAATCCTTCCAGCTGACTAGTGGCTACAACTCGCGTTGTGGTATGAGCTCCAGCATAGTCGTTGCACTCAACCAACATATCGCCGTTTCTGATTTGTGTTGCATTACTGTCGACACATCCATTCCAAATGGCTTCAGTGTAAGATAGATCCTGCTGGGAAATTAAGCTAGTAACTCGGCGAAATGCTGCTTCCATCTCTTCTGGTAGACGGAGCTTAATATCCACGTTATAAATTGCAGCCATGAGATCCACTTTTCTTAGCTTTACCTGCTATCTTCTCTTTGATTCGCATCATCACGTGAAACGAGTCCTGCTTCACCTGTACGCCACCATCGAAAGTGTCTTATACCATACCACGAACGCAATTAGCATTATCGCTCACTAAGTAGATACACCCATCACCATTAGTTTTCAGAGTTGGTATCAGATTGCCTAACAGCGCGCCAGTTTCCTCATTGTTCTCCGATTTAGTTAGTCGTCTGCCAACGATCTGACCAACTTCATTCTGTACGAGTAAAAGAAGCTTAGCATCTGAAATACTACTTCGTTGTCTGATCCATCCAAACTTTCAGTTTTTTGCAAAGTTTTGCTGAGTTATCCACTCGAAGTACCTTTCGTACCGACATCGTTTGTATTAGCAATTCACAAAGCGGGCCATATATCGCCGTAGCCTCCATCCATGCTGATGTAAGCACCTTACTGTCCATAACAGAATGTATGGCGCAGTAGTCCGAAACAGTAGGAAATGTTGGCGCAGCGTAATTAGGAATAGAAGCCCTAAAATGATGAACCCGGTCAGCTAAGAGTGTGTACAGCTTGTAATAGCGTGCTTGGCGACGGCGTCGGATGTTTTTGATGATATTGCTCAGCCCATTTGGAGACATCATCCCGCGTCATGAACCATTTCAAGCAGTGCTTTTGAGTAGCCAGTCTTTGATCCTAATATAAACGAAAAAACACCATAGCTTCTACATTAGACTGCAAATAATCTGGGGAAATCGTAGAGAAACACGCTCTGGCGCTACCTACGCATTGAATATTTGGTATACTGCAGATCCTGCTTCCCGTCCATATCTTCCTCAACCCTTTTCAAGTATTCCTTCACACGAGGTGTGCAACCGCTCCCAGGAGAGATACAAGAAGGTTTTTGGCCACGGCAATTCA